GCGTATGATGTGTGTGTGTTTATTGTGCTACTTGAGTCTTCGAATGTCTAGCACATTGGGCTCCTCTCTGACCCAGGCCATACCTTGTACAGTGCTCCTATCCTCTTTTGTTACTTGAAAGATCATCGATATATTCCCCTTGATGAATAGCCATTCAGCTCAGTGTTTACCCGTGGTATTCGGCCACCTTTGGCACCGAACCTTCTACCCAAAAAAAATAATAAAAATAGTAGCAATTGAAACTGCGTGCGCGGGAAAAAGTCTCAAAAATCCTGCAGCCCCAGCCAGGCGAGGCATATACACTGGGACCACATGAGGTGCGCATATTCATCTATATCTCCCTTCTTTGTAACAGTTGAGGTCGACTTGATCCAATCCGCCATCTCCGTATCGGGTGCTGGGTATGCTCCAGAAACTCATCGGATGGCATCTCCTCCATGATCAAGGGTTGGTGATGAGTAGGACTCCGACCCTACCATCTGATCTGATCGTGATTAGCTTCATGATAATGGTGAGATGGGAATGTGTTGAGAGATGAAGACGATACAGACCGCGAAAGCGATTGGGAATCCTCGTCGAAGTGAGGACTTTGTTACTCAATCTCGCCTCTGCAGGCTCTACAGTGAGAGCTGGAGGTTCGTCGGGGATACCACTGACAGGTGTTGAGAATAGTCCCTCAGTAGCGTATGATGCTATTTAGGCAGAAACTGTCAAACAGATTACCCTAAGCTTAAATGTTGTCTCATGATGTTTAAGTTAAGTAGTTGACAAGCAAGTAAACTGGGCTGATGCATCAAGGGCAATAACTTAGTCATGCAAATGTTACAATTAGCGGCTAGACGGATGGCCAATTTCATACGCACAACTCCCTTGTTGTTTCACTCCTTCTATTGCCCACGATAATGTAACAGCCAATCTTAGACCCATGTATGGAACAGAGATTTGAGCAGTTCGTATTGGCAATCTAATATTCAGTCTATATTTGGAATTAGTAGGATACTCAAGATGTATATAGTACCTAGATAGATTCCTCATGGGAGAGACAATCAATTCAATAAACTCCGAGAGAGATTCATATTAGTATAACTTTGCTCAACAGAAACCTTATGCTGACTTATAGGCTAAATATATTGGCATAGCCACGAGAAATCAAAAGTTACTCTCATAGTCTTAGGCTCGGTAGGGACTATGATTAAAATCTAATCTCATCTAACGCATGCCAGCGTTGAAAGGCCAGCGCCTCGAGCTGTGCGTGTAGCTAGCGCTTCGCCTCGAATCGATGGTTCTTCGCTCGTCGCACACTCGCCACCGTCTAGCCACGCAGGAGTTGCGCGTTGGTTGTTGGGCGAAATCTAGGTCATTAGTGCTGTGTATATTTCCTGCCACGGTAAGAAATTAGAGGAGAAATTTTCCTCATCATCCTCTATTTCCTCCCCCAACCTGTGCTGGCGAGCTGCGTCTGGCTGCCCTGCTTTTTGCACTGGTTGGAAGCTTTCTATGGCAACTGACGACGAGGAGGGGAAATAATTGACTAGCAGCCAGAGGGCTATGGAGCTCATGACTGCTTTGCATATATGGAGGAACTCTACTTTGTTGCCGCATACCCAGCAACAGTCCCAAGCCGCCCTGAAAAACGAAGACACCCCCGCTGCCCCACAGTGCATTACAGATGTATCCTAGACGTGGCTTCGTATCTTTCGTACGTCTATTCGTTCATGACGAGTCTATATTTGGTTGCATCAGTCATGCAATTTCGAGCGCGCGCCAGGTATCTTCAGTCCAGCAGAAGTATGCATTGCTGATCCGTCGCTCCACCCAGCGGGTCCACGACAGCGCGCACATGTGGTATGTTATCCGAAACGGCGTCTGCATTGCTCAATGCATTTAGCTAGTATTAACATCGCTGTTGTGAGCGTGGTCATACAAAGTGCGAAAGGATTGGAAGAGTCCCCGAGTTCTGCCCTTGTCCGATGAGGGCATGGGAAACCTCGGTGCAGCGGCTCGGTGTCTCGAGGTCTTTTGCTGCGACGTCAAACATAGCAGGAACGCGCTGGACAAGGTCCACACTTTAGATTGAACATTCTCTTTCCCAAAAGGTAACCGCGCCGAGCCTAATTTGAGCGAGCCGCCTCCAGACGTGGTAATCATCCAAGCGAAAAGAAGGTTGTCGACGTTTTCCCCAAAACTTCGCTACTCTGCACTGTCGGTTTTTTGATGCTTGGAGGTATAGGATGCCTCTTGGCTAATTCAGGCCAGCGCTAGTTTTCGCTCTGGTGATTTTTCCCCAAGGCTTTTCATGCTGTACTTGAGTGGGGCCGTCGCTGCCAGAAACTTTTGCGGTGGCAAGTGAAAGTTGCAAATGTAAAGCTAGCTCGGCTTGGATATACTAGGCTACGGCCACTTGATGAATTTCGATCGAGCAGATAAAATCTTTCTATTCGCCCTCCGACAACTTGTAGATTTAAATTTCCTCGCTAATTATGACTAATAATCAATTTGAAATGTGAGCAGCTTCGTCCATTACTCAAGGCTTCTATATTTTCGCTTGCGCTCGGGATTCAATGGGCTAACAAAGCATCCTGATTGCAATGTCGGCGTTTACAGGATGCCGTTAGAGCGCGTTACAGGTGTCTCCCAACGCAAGGGTCGGCTTGGCCTCAGAGGACTCTTCGTCCCTATTTTCCCAGCCGTTGCTTGCCCTTTGGGTTAAGACATCGCTATCTTCACACGGCCAAAATTTTCCGTCAGATCAATTCTACTGGTAGTAAGGCCTCCAAGAAGTTCTCTGATTCAACTGTGAATGAGGACGTCCTCGCCAAATCCAACTAGTTTGGTACTCATCTACCCAGAAATGGTGACATTGACATTCCCTCAACCCTGAGACTTCACACTAAACTCGGCCATCAATTTTATGTCTATGGATTTTCTACGAGATCTTAGTACTCCAGTTGTGCTCGCGCACTAATTGGAGTCCAGTTTGTTTTTATCACAATTTGGGTGAGATTTGTTTATTGTAGTGCTAGGGTCTTTGACTTTCTAGCACACTGGGCTCCTCCCTTACCCAGCTCATACCTTATACAGTGCTCTTGTCCTCTATTACTACTAGAAGGATTAATGTACATTACCCGTAATGCATAGCCATTCAGCTCAGTATCCACCTATAGAATTCGACCACCTTTTCCACGGAGCCTTGTCACAGTTTGAAACGCGACCATGGAATTAACGGGGTAGCTTATCTTCATTCTCGGTCATTTCGTTGGTCTACAATCATGCAAATTTAAAGGAAGACTGTGACTCATTAGCTCTGGGGGTCTATAATATTTTGAACTTTTCAAAATTTCAAGCTTCACATCAGTTCACATTTATCCGAATTTTAGACATCTTGTTTTCGTCACTCACTTATTGGTGCCATCGCCGGCAAAGACGAATTCTTCACCTTCCAGTGGTGCCGGTGTAATCACTCAGTATGCTCTGCTTATCTGGGATAGCCAAGAAGAGTCGCATCCGAATCGATGTGGAAAGCAACCTCATACACATCTCCATTTGACAACTTCTCGACAATGCCTCTCTCATCATTATCATCTGAGTCCTCAACCCATCTCTAACCACGCATCACCTCGCCTCAACGACCAATAAAGAAGTTTCTCCAATTGCATACAGGAGCTTGCCCCATTGTTCTCCAGCCATCTCTCACTACATATTTACGACGCTATTTATACACGCGAGGAGGAAATCAAGTCGAGAAATACAAAGCCTGGGTCTTGGCTTATGGGGGACTGTTGCTCTAATGGGACAAACAACTTGAGGAAGAACAGGCGCCTGAGATGTGGAGCGAGAGGTAGAATAGGTCTCTGAAGACCATGCTGGGACTGATATTTTCGAGGAGTTTGCAACTTTGGATTTTTTGTGGGCGCCAAGACCGAGATTTCGGCTGATTAGCCAGGAGGGTTTCTATTGTCGATGAGTCAACGGCACTCCCCAGCGCCCTGGACGGCACAAAAGAAGTTGGGCTAAGCTACTATACAGCAATCACGCTCTGTCAAGACTTTTCTGACATTTCAGCACGGCCTTTGGGAAGGTGTTGGAAGGAGACTAGAAAGGCAGAGGGTGAATTTCCCGAGGTACCCCCAAGTCTGCAGCGCTCAGCTGGCCGGCCTCTTCGAACGCTTCGGAAGGGTCAACATGTCTTCGGATTTAGTCCTAATGTCGGTATTAGGAGAGCTCCGCACCCAGTAGTTTTTGCGATTTTTACCGGCTGCTATATACTCGCAAATGGCCATCGTTTCGTTGGCTGGAGAGGGGAGATTACGAAGGGCAAAGGGCTCCTCTTAGTGTATGATAGAATGAGGATTTGTGAGGGGTGGTACTGTCTGAGGGGAGCTGTATGAGAGACATAGGAGGGGATATACTACTGGTATAGGTATCCTTTGCCTGTAGGCAGAGAGGACCTGCATGTCCTACATAGTCATAGACTCAGAAAGGACAGTAAAATGAATTACTAATATTAATTGATGCCATCTACGAATATATCACGTGATGGAACTTTAGAGTTCTAGGAGAAGGAAAAATTGGCCTGAGATCTCTCAGACATCATTAAGGCTTCAATAACGTCAGTGAGTCATTTGTATTCAAGTGAGTTGAGATATTATAAGTTGCTATCAGGTTTCTGTAAAGGAGGTAGGCATTGACTTGAGAATCGCATAGTGCGTTGAGCCTTGATATTTCGAGACTTTTTTCCTGCCTATCCTTGAGCGAGGATCATTGAAGATACAAGTGGCTAATAGATTGCCATGTTAAATGGTTGTGTCATGGGCTTTCCACTATAGGCCTTCTCTAGATAATTACATAGAGGTCGGAATTCTTCTGATCATATTGCTTAGGTTTTAAATGATACTTTTTGGAGCTCAAAAATGGTATTCTCGTCGACCGATTATGACCCTAGTTACCTCGATTTTGGTAAATATTTCGGAACTTATCTTTCGTAGTACCTCTTTTTTCCTCTAATAAATACCTGGACAGATGACCCACCTAACACGTTTACAATACTCAGCCCAGCCTTTGCCGTACTTTTGAGAACAGCGTTCTTCATCGCGCCAGCAGCGATGAATGAGCAATATAGTCATGAAAATGGCGTATGTCCATGGCAGTATGTTCCCGAGACCGCATACAGCGCACATTGAGTAAGAGAGTATCAAGTCACCCATGTAATTGACATGGCGCGCGTATCCCCACCACCCTGAGCAGAGCAGGATACTGGTGTGCTCTAAGCCGTCCTTTGTCTTGTACTTGACGTGCATAACCTCAGGCTTCTTTCCCCAAATTTTACACTTTGCACTGGTGAGACGAACAATGTCTTTTTGGTGATTGACACTGCGAAATAGGAGATAGCCGCTAAGACCAGTGCATAGGAAGAAGATGGCGACAGGGTTGGATAGTTGAACTGGATTAGTCGCCAAGTATTGGGTCTGGAGAGTGTATACACTGGGTAGCCAGACTAGGGAGCCCCAGGCTAGGTAAAATCCAAAATGGTCGTGACAGATGTCGATGGTACGGAGGTACCAATCTTCATTGTAAAAGAAATCGACGACGTAGACCATGTGGAGAATGGTAGCGACGACAATCGAGTTGGTAACAATACCAAATCTCTGGTACTGGTAGGCAATGAATGAGAGATCGCTTAAATTCAACCATTAGCCTTATTTCAAAACCAGAGCATTGACAGTCCGAGCTGGAGCTAGTAGAAGAACGGGATTTACTTACATAAGGGTCCAGGCTACAATACCTGGGCGGCCGTTAATGAACAGCTTGTAGTCAAAGTATCGTCCGATGCGAGGATTGAGTTCAATACCCATGTAGATGTCGTACAGCATACTTGAACTAAATTTTCTGTCGTCAGGGTGGGTTGGAGCGTATAGGGCTTTTAGATAGGCCTCGATTGTTAACAGAAAACCTGCGACATTTGTTATGAAAAGTAGCCCTTCCCAGCTTTTAGCGATGATTGCAGCATCTAGATAGCCTGTTAAAGCAGCGACTACAAATATTGCATGACTGACTATCCAAGCTAGTAGACCGTTGGTGCGATATTTGAGGAGATGCCCGGCAGGTGTAAGTTGACCAGAATTCAATTTGCTGGGTAGAAACTGATAGAGCGAAGCCTGGAACAATAGCCATGCACCATAGTATATGGAGACAGCCTTGTTGGGGCGAGGAAAGTAGCGGATGAGGAATCTAGGCAATCCGAGCTCGTAGATAGACATGACGGTGGCGGTTAGAGAGCAATCAAATGACGTGAGGGCGACCCAGAACAAAATTGAAAGAATTGGACAGCATACCATAATGCTCGCGCAACCCAGAGAATGCTTCCATGAGCCGTGGTGGGTCCTTCGACCCCAGGAAATTTCAGAGTCCGCCATGATGTTTTCTAGGACTTCACCAGAGGGGTCAGCGTCGAAGAATTGGTCTGGTGTTTCCACTCGAAAGTAACGAGCCGAGATGTATGCTGGCGATCTGAGATTTTTTGGAGTCGGTGAGAGGACGGATAGCAACTTGCAAATCAAGCTTATATGCAGGTAGGACCCCAATTCAGTTACATAATCAAGGTTCAACGGCTGGCCAGTCAGAGAGGAAGGATCCCAGCTAAATTTCGGCATCATGTACCATCAAACAGGGATACTCTGCATTTAATCTTAGAAACTGGACGATCGTAGACCCTGTCTTTAAACGCCATTTTTAACGGATGGAAAGCTTGGAGATGCTTTCACACTTGAGCAGGGGTTAGATGGAGGGAAAGAAGTAGGGCAAGTGATTGTGGGCGAGGTCGGAAAGACCACTCGAGCAAGGGAGCATGAGTGTGGTGAGGCCAATACGATTAGGGCTGATGTTTTATTTTCCTCTCTCGGCCCACGAGCAGATGGGGAGTGAAGATCATCTCTGCTTCCTTACAGTAGGAAGACGCCTGTCAAGATCAAGCTTAACGGCTCAAGACACATGAAACGTCACAATTAAACCCTATTCTTCCAAAATCAAGACCTACCAGCCCAGACAGTCACTCTGCGCGAATGGGCCTCTCTTGTCCTCGGCCTCTCGTCGTTGTGGGCTGCGTGAAAGCCGGGAAAAAGCGGCGGTAGCTGAGGTAGACGAGCCGAGGAAAATTGGCAGCGGGCAGAGGCTCTTCCGATGGGCAACAGCAAGGCCTCCCCGAAACGGCGCGTAGCTGGACGTGGGAATTTGTTTGGACGGGTGGCGGCGGAAGATTGGAAGGGCAGGCTCCTCATCACAGACATGCACCCATCAGCCCTCTTGCATGGCAAAACGTTGGGCGCCGAGCTCTCAGGGGTCCTGCTGATCAGGGATGAGGCCTGGAGCTGTAAGGCCACCACTCTCGCCCTGTAGCCTGAGGCTCAAGCTCTATGGGGCCTTCCGAGCTGTCCGTCCGTAACAATTCGGCCTACGGTCTTTTACGTCCCCGATCCCTTGAAACTTTGCTTTTCCATTCGGCCAACGCCTTTTCGTATTGTCGTTTACAGTGCTGGGGACCTGTGTAATGGCCTATTTATAAAGATTCTGTCCCATCAACGCTCCTTCACACCCGCCAACGCGAAATGTCTGCCGGACCCAACTACCCCAACTCCTGTGTGGCCATTCTCTTGGAGCATACGGCGTCAAGGGCATGAGAAAATACGCTACTGATGGATAGGTTGTCTCGGTCTAATGATGGAAGGAATTTACATGCCATGGATAGCTTGTATCGTATTAGACTACCCTGAGATGCCTCGGCGCTCTATCTACCTTGGAAAGATAAACTTTGAGGAAATTCGTCTCAAAAAAATATTGTTGCTCGCGTCTCAATTTAGCTTTCGAGAGTGACGACATGCTTTTGGTCAAATGATGCAGTGGATAATTGTCATATCTAGATAGCTGAATACAATATGATAAAAAAAGATGCGGTGGTTTGCTTTGTATATTAACGGGCTGGGCAATTGGCGCCTTCCGCGCTCCTGTAGGAACTTGAGCACGAATGGGTCCGTACTGGATCAGGTCAACCACCATACAGGTTCATTCAACCTTTTCCCATTATGCGTTTGTGTGTGCGGCTTGCGATAGACTTCAGAGCCAAAGCTCGCGTGTAATCTCTAATTACAAAATGGCTTGTTTTACGCGTGACTTAATACAGAGTATGGAGGGCATAAACTAAACACCTGTAAGTAAAATATTCTCCCGAGCCGACTTCCGTCTAATTCCGCAAAACCAAGCAAGTTGGCCCACGAGGCAGTAACTCCAAACTCCCAATAAACTCAACATCTCACTCTCAACAAGATCGATTCCCCCCTAAATCTCATCAAGTCTGCAAGTACGACCTGGTTCGTCCACACTTCAATGGCCACACCTCTCGTCGAACCAGTCTCTGGCGTCAAGTGGCCTCCACATACGCGCCCACAAGAATGTGAATAATGAATTAAAAAAAATATAAAAAAAATAAAAAGAATGTGAATACCCGCCAGAGGATGCAGATTTTGGTGCACAAACCGGGGAGGCAGTATATTTGAGAATAGAGGTGAGAGAGACAAGGACAATCGGACGAGATTATGCTAACGTTGGATAAGATCTCGAAAGAGGTGAAATTTCGAATACTTGAAACTTTACAAATGTAGCTTTGTTCGCTGCACGACTTCGATTGAGAGAGTGCAAGCGCAACTATAAACACCGCCATGGCTGCATGGTGCACTGGTAAATCATCTAGGCCGGTCTCCAAGGTCGAGTCCGGATAGCTCGGACACAAATCTCACTCGAGACAGGAGATGGCTGCTTCGAATCCGGCAAAACACAACCACATCTCTCGCGCGAAAACGCCATTTTAACCTGCTCGTGCGGCGAAAAGTGCCCAAACCATAGTTTCTATTGTCACTAAGGGCAATACAATACTCAGGACCGTCGGGCACAGATTTTAATCCCAGCGTATCTTGGGCTCTTGCGTCAATGGAGGGGGTTTAACGTATGCAGTACCTGGGTGAGTGTCACAAATTCATTCAAAAGGGCACAACGACAAGTCTGATTCGAACGGAATGACCAATCGATGTAACCAATTTTTTCCTTCAATTTGTACCATCTAAATAGCATGAGATTCGTTGGACGAACGATATCCATGTACACGATAATCTTGGAGCGCAGGATGATAAACTCCTGGCTCTCATTTGCTTTGTTGGGTCTGTGTAGGCGCCAACACGTCGGCTAGTTGTATTTATGTGGCTTCAAGTGTCGTATTTAATATAAAACGAGTCGTATAACGACTGCTCATAATTGTTACTGGAAGTATATTGTTTCTCATCTCTTTCCTTCCTCTAGCAACAAGTGTTATGTTCAAGAATGTGGGCGACCCTAAGTCACGGGATACGGGACCCACATTTAGACTAGCCTAACCGGCACGACGTTAGTGAGTGTTTATTGTACTATTTGTGTCTACGACACTCTAGCACGTTGGGCTCCTCTCTGGCCCAGTCCACAGCTTGTACAGTGCTCCTTGCCTCTCATGTTTCTTGACAGATCATTGATATATTGCCCTTGATGAAGAGCCATTCAGCTCAGTGTTTACCCGTGGAATTCAGCCAACTTTTCCACGGAACCTTCTACCCATAAAAAAAATGGTAGCAATGGAAACCGCGGGGCACAATATTAAATAGTATAAATAAGTTATTAATATAGTCACCACACGCACTCAGTCATTGGGACTGTAGAGCGCATTGACTCAAGTAACTACCAAAGTAAAACCAAGTACTGGGCTTGTAGTCACTTGCGTGTCAACTACGTGGCCTACATGATAGCCCCAATTCTTCCAGCTTCTAACATTAACCACATTTCTCGCGGCGCTAGTATGCGTGAAAAATGAAGGTATACTCGGATAATCAAAGGGTTTCAATTTAAATTTGGCGGGCACTCACGGAGATGGTTCGACTGTTTGTGTAATCAAAAATTATCGTGGGATCAATCGATGATGGTCGACACCAGAGCGAGTCCGAGAGTAGAGTCATTTGACCATTCCAACCTTCAGAAGAAACCCGAATTGTTACTCCTATCTATTCTAATTTTATCTCTTTCAATATCATGGTCTTGGAGAACACGGCCTTGATTACCAGCCTAGCGACAACTATCCTCGCGGCAACCAGCCTCATCAAAGCTTTCCTTGCGATTACCGACCTCGTGAGGCATATGTTGTCTGACTTAGTATTGACACAGCCAGTACTAACTGTTGAGATGAAATAATTATTGATCTATTAATTGGAGTAAAATTGCATCAGAAAACTATTACGAACTATTACTATCTTATATACATAATTAGCAGTCCACGAGTGATCTAGTTCTTCAACGACGGTGCAAGTGTCCTCTACTGGTACCCTGATAGAAGTGAGTGATCTGTCTTCCTGCCTCCCGTTTAATGGCGGAAGATCAGCATCATGTGACTGACATCTCTTTCAACCTAACACCACACAAATGTTCTACCTAGCTGGTAAACACTAACAGCCAGGTAAATGTATGACTCATTTGCTATTTAGCTTATACTAACATTGTATATTCTAGGTTTCAACACTCCTCCTGACTAACAAGTCTAGTAGCCTTGTTAGGGACCACAACTCGAATTACAAGTGTTTTGAATTGATATGTCTGTTAAACATTTTCTGAGGGCTTCTCCAGCGTGTGCCATAGCTTTTTAAAATTCGCCTTAAAACTTATGAAATATTTTATTGCAAATTGGCACAGCTTTTGAGTGAGGTAGGGGCTTTGTAAGTATATCTGCCAGCATTTCACATGATGGTATGAACTCAACTTTGATAGTACCTTTTTGGACGCAGTCTCTTGCGAAGTGATAGGCTACATCAATATGTTTAGCTTTAGTTGAATTAGTACCATTGACTATGGCCAATGCACTCTGGTTATCTGTGTAAACCTTCATCCCGGAATTTTCGATAAGTTCCTTAGAAGCATTGAGTTCCTCCAGAAGTCTAGTGGCCCAGATAGCATGCTTTGATGCCTCGAATATTGCTATGTACTCAGCTTCTGTTGTGGAAGTGGCAATTGACTTTTGTCTTTTAGATTGCCAGCTGACGGGTCCTCCACCCAGCATCATTAGGTACCCACTAACAGATCGACGAGTGACAACATCTGATGCATAATCGGAGTCTGAATATATTGTAGCCATTGATTCATCTGATAATTCGCAAGAAGGTATTCCAAAGCTATATGTAAGACTGGTATCATGGGAACCTTTCAAATATTTGTAAACTCTGCAAACGCCATTCCAATGACGAGTAACAGGTGATGCATTAAACCTTGCTAGCTGTGATGTTGCAAAGGCAATATCAGGCCTTGTGCTATTAGAGGCATACCCCAAACTACCAATTGCACTAGGATATGCTGAGTTGTCCGCAAGGGGCTCATCGTCATTAGCAGGTAAAATTGCCTCGTATCCATCCATTGGAGACTTGAAAACTTTGGCATTACTTAGCCCAAGAGAATCAAC